ACGCGTCCTTTCCCTGTCCCCATCGCTCTGCTCCGTGCTCCTGTCTACGAAAGGAGATGCATGCTTCCCTGCTGCCCTGCAGTCTCGCAAAGCAATGATGCTGGCAGAGCTGGTTTCCTAGTGCCACTTGGAGGCAGTCTGTCCCCATGGTCTCACCTGGGTTTGTCCCAGGGCCAGTATCCAAATCAGCTAAATCAGCTTTCCATTAGCAAATTCAACTGCTCAACAGGAGGCACTGGCACCCTGCTGTGGTGCCTGGCTGCAGTGCTGTGTCTGGGGAAATACTGAGAGCAGAGACAGGCAGCAGCATTGAGTCAGCCTGCCCCGCCGGTGGAGACGTGGGAGAGGGCTGTTTGGGCTTCAGAGGGTGAGGACAGCCCTCCAGCATAAGATGTGCTGTAGCCGCACCTGACGATTTGCGGGCAAAATCCGGCATCTGGACCTGGTCGTATTCCAGCTTCTCCAGTGCTTCGCTGATTAAATTCTGAACATCCTGGGAAGGAAGAGAAAGAGAGCAGCTATGAGAGGCACATCCCAGCTCCTCTACTGGGCCAGCTGAGGTGAACACAGCGGTTGCCCTCTGGCCTAAGGAGCTGGGTGATTCCCTGGGAAGCTGCCAGGTCTGTTGGGCTCTGATGGAGCAGTCTCGGAATAGCGGAGCACTGGAATGAGCAGCAGGGCTTGGAGGGGGCTGAGCAAAGGGCTGAGGGAAGAGACGGAGGAGTTCCTGAACCACGTGGGCTGCGCCTTTTCCAACTGCATTCCCAATGCACATGGCACACAGGACTTTGTGCAGAGACTGGCAGAGCCTCCAGGCACTCCAGATGGAGGGCAACGCGTGCCTTCCCTGTCCCCATCGCTATGTTGCTTGCTGCCGTCTACGAAAGGAGATTTCAGTCTGTGGACAAAGATATAGTCAAGTTCACAAACAGTACGATGCAACATTTACAAAGCAGGTTTCTGATATCAGCACAATAAATTTTCTACTACAGCGTGGGGTTTTTCGCTAGCTGTGATGTTCAAATGTGCAATCATCACTCACCCCAGAAGATGGGAGAGGACGGTCAGTCTCAAGTCTTTTCAGGCGGCGTCCCAATCTGATGGGTTTTTACGATGGAATATTCCCTCTCACTTCTTAGTCTCCTCAGGCAGCGTTCCAGTCCGAGCGGAGTAAAGGGGGATTAGCCCGTAGACTGACCCAAGAGTTTTTATGGATTCTTCTCTCCTCCTTTTCATCCTGACTACTTTACTTTTAGCTGGAGCTTGAGTGACTAGAGTCATACTTAATATTGTTATTGATCAGTGAAAAGTTTCTCGCTTTCATTTAAAGGTACCGTTAATTGAAAATCTATAGCGCATGCTCAGTGAGGGGTGGTTCCAACTTTTGGGATGGAGGTGTGTTTTGACATTATAACGAGCAAAGTTCAAGCAAAGTTCATCTGAAAGGAGTGATTTGACACCTTTGCTGGCTCAGCACCGGACATGTTATTGCGTATCTCCCACTGGAGAGCTACTGTGTGGCTTATCAGCAGCCCAGCACAGGGAGTGCAACAGAGTTTGGCCACAGTGTCTTCACTTTCCTCCATCCATCCTCCGTTACTCCCCTTTGCAGCTGCGAGGAGGGCAGATTGTGTTGCGTAGGGAACCGTGGAGGAGCTGAGTCCGTGCCTACCAACCCTCCTGGAAGTGGCAACTGTGTATCACCCCAAGCAAGCTTTTGTAATGCCAAAACTTCGGTTAGGCCCTAGTTTTCCTCTCAGTTGCAACTTTCAAACAATTCTTCCACACCCACGCCAAGCTGCCTTGGTCGGAGGGACCGGACCCGACCGGAGGGGGCGAGGGAGCCGGGCTCGCGGCAG